ACACACACACACACACACAGCCTGTCTGAACAGGTGTGATGATAAATTCACCTGTGCTGTTTGTTTGTGTGTCTGCTTGTGCAGCTCCGGGCAAAGCTGGGGTCTCTCACCGATGACCTCCAGAAGGTGGAGCAGAAGAAGAGGCAGCTGGAGGAGAGTCAGGATGCTCTGATGGAGGAGGTCGCCAAGCTCCGCGCTCAAGGTAATACTGCCATGGTTACAGGAAACAGTAAACTCTGATTGGCTAATTTTTAAAAATCCATCACAGGTGAACAGGTAGAAACAATAAGAGACTCTGTGTTTGTGTGTGAGCAGGTCAAATGCACGAGCTGACAGTGATGGACAAAGAGAAAGAACACATGAGCCAGCTGAAGGATGTTGTGGAGATGAAGGTAAACATGGCGTGACGTCACTGTGAGCAAAGTAATAATCAACAGTCTGTCAAAGCTAAATCAGTGATAGAGGTGATGGAAGTGTCGCTGTGTGTTCTATAGAGAACGCTGGAGGAACAGATGGAGAACCACCGGGAGGTTCATCACAAACAGCTGAGTCGACTCCGAGATGATATCGATCAGAAACACAGAGACGTTGACCGACTCAAAGAGTGAGTTATTGATTATTATTGATTGATTAATGATATTACTAATTACTGAGTGATTGAGCTGCTCTCAGACTCTTCTCAGCTGTTCTGGGTTCAGTCACATCGTTCATTTTAAAGAGATTTGTTATTGGTCAGATTTTTGCTTCAAGCATGTGTTTTGTCAGAGTGTCGAGCCGGCTGTTTCCAGCTTCTTTGTTTCTTTCAGCGTGAATCAGGCTCTGCAGCTGGAAAACAGGAAGCTTCAGTCTGACTTGGACAAATTGAGAGCAGAGGATCAGAACAAAGACCAGAAGCTTCAAAAGCTCATGTACGTTTGTCCCTCTGTTCTTGCAGTCGCCTCAAACATCGTGATTGAGGTTTTAGCGCCATCAGACATGGTTGTGTCCACATTCAGTTCACGATATAATCTGTGACGTCTAAGTGTGTCAGACAGAAACCATATATTTATTTATCATGTTATTTTTCTCATTTAAACTCCTGCGGCACTCAGATGACATCATTGTATCATGTCGCCTCCTTCTGCTTCCACCTACCGTTTCTCTGACCAATCAGTGAACTCACATTAACAGGCAGTGGGTGTAAACGGAGTTCAGGTGGGTCATGCTAAACTCTGCTTGTGTCTTCAGGTTTGTGAACGAGAAGAGAGAACAAGCCAAAGAAGACCTGAAGGGTTTGGAGGAGACAGTGGTATGAGATTGTATTTTCACTGGCATAGATGCTCTGGGTCCAGAAGTGCTTCTGTGCAGCACCACAGTGGGTGTTACATGAATCTATGACTGAAGTGCAGATTTTCAATTCAACTAAAATTTTATATGAACTGTTGAAATGCGTGCTCAATCATCCAGATAAGGAAATCCATAAAAGTTGATTCTGTTTATCTTCTCTTTATGTATTATTGTAGGTCTACATTACAAGATAAAGCGCCTTGAGGCGACTGTTGTTGTGATTTGGCGCTGTATAAAGGATTACTCCTGAAAGTCTGCAAATAAGCTCTTCAGTTAAGGGCCTCCAATTCAATTTTTCAATTTCATTTCGTCATCAGGACGCTACAACACAGAGCGAACACCATCCCCACAGACACAGCGGCCAGGGAGGCAGAAGAACATCAAGAAGGCCCTGAGTAAATGTGGTTATCCCAGCTGGACTTTTGTCAAAGGTGGGAAGGCGCCAAAAGAAAGCTCCAGCTGATCCAGGAGAAAAGGACAACCGCTGCCTAACAGAAAACCTGTAGTGATCATGTACGTGTCAGGAGTATCAGTACAGTTGAGGCGCATTTTTCCTAAACACCGGTTCTCTGGGGCTTTCAAGCCCCAAAACATGTTGCGCCAGAAATTGGTCCACCCCAAGGATCGGGTCCCCCGACACAAACAGAGTAACAGAGTGTACGCTGTTAAGTGCAGGGGGATTGCCAGGATTTATAAATCGGGGAAACCAAACAACCTCTGGTGAAGCGGATGGCCCAACATAGAAGAGCCACCTCGTCAGGCCAGGACTCTGCAGTCTTCTTGATGCATGCAATCAATAACTTAACTGCTTAAATAACTTTAGGCCTGTGGCCCTCAAACCAATTGTGAGTAAATGCTTTGAGCAGCTGTTTTTGAAGCACATCAAGGACATTCTCCCAATAAACCCAGATACCCTTCAATTTGCATACAGAACCAGTCTATCCATCTCCACCACCCACCACCTTATGCTGTCACACCTGGAGAGGAAAACACCACAGTCACTGACTTCAACCACTTTTAACACAATCATCCCACACCAGCCGGTGGAGACACTGATGCTTCCAGGTGTGGACACTGCAACCTGCAACTGGGTTCTCAGCTTCCTGACAAAATTCAATTCAGCTTTACTTATACAGCCCCAAATCACAACAACAGTCGCCTCAAGGCGCTTTATATTGTAAGGTAGACCCCACAATAATACATACAGAGAAAAACCCAACAATCATATGACCCCCTATGAGCAAACACTTTGGTGACAGTGGGAAGGAAAAACTTTTAACAGGAAGAAACCTCCGACAGAACCAGGCTGAGGGAGGGGCGGGGCCATCTGCTGCGACCGGTTGGGGTGAGAGAAGGAAAACAGGATAAAGACATGCTGTGGAAGAGAGACAGAGATTAATAACAGATATGATTCAGTGCAGAGAGGTCTGTTAACACATAGGTTGTGTCCAAATTCACGGGCTGCATCCTCCTGAGGACGCATTTGTAGTCCGATTACGTCACAGCGACGTGACGAAGGCTGTCCACCCTGTGTAGAGCTTTCCTCTCTGCCTCAGTGCAGTTTCTGTGCCACACGTTGATGCCAGAGCACAGAACACTCTCCACCGCACATCTGTAAAAGGAGATGAGGACTGAGCTCTCAAGTCCCGCACATCTCAGCTGCCTCAGGAAGTAGAGCCTCTGGTGAGCCTTCCTGATCAGTCTGGAAGTGTTTTTCCAAATGAGGTTGCTATCTAGGTACATACCCAGGTACTTGTAGCTGGGTACTACTTCGACTGCAGATCCTCCGACGTGCAGGGGTGTGTGTGTGTGTATGTGTCTTCCCCTCCTCAAGTCCACAGTCATCTCCTTCATCTTCTTCTCATTTAAGCAGAGATTGTTTTTCCTGCACCAGTCCTCTAAGTGTTCCACCTCCTTCCTGTAGCCGGTCTCATCATTGTTGGTGATGCAACCAACCACAGCTGCAAACCTGACAATAAGACAGCCTGGATGGTTGGGTGAGCAGTGTGAACAGGAGGGGACTTAGCACACTCGTGTTAGGATCCTCAAAGCGGGCGTAGAACTGGTCGAGAGCCTCAGGCAGAGAAGGATCCCTGGGGCATTGTGTATCCCTAGTTTTGTAGTCAGTGATGCACTTACCCCTCCACATACTGCGTGGATCCTGGGAAGAAAAATAACAGTCTATCTCCTGTGTGTATGTGGCTTTGGCTCTCGTGACGCCTGCAGTCATTTCTCTTCTAGCCCTCCTGAGTTCCTGTGCGTCACCAGACCTGAAGGGGCTTTCAGCAGGGCATGGACTTCTTCTTTGTTTTCTTTCCCGCCTGTCCCGTTTGGTTCTTTTGCCATCAGAATTATTGTCTAAAGGCAAAGAAAGATGCCCAACGGATTTACTTGACCAGATTGACCATCCCAGCCTTGCCGTGTTGGTCTATTTGATTTACCTTTGCTTTTATTGTTTATTTTATTTTATTTTCACTTGCTACACTTGGGACAGACTTGACTGGGGAAAAGAAAAGGGAGAAAGAAAGAGGGGAAAAAAAACAGCGGGGAAGATGAACGGTAATAAAGGGCAAAACACAAAAACCAACAAAAAAAACCAGACAAAAAATACAATCACCTGGATCACCTGTTGAGAAAGAAAAAAGAGAAAGCAAGAAAAAAAAGAGAGCAACATAATAAACAACATCATGATGATCTATGTGAATATAACAGTAAATATTAAACATTATTGTGCAGCACGTAAGATCGACAGCGCACAGTGTGCTTTGAGGTAGGAGCCAAAAAGGGTGTAGTTTGTGTGTGTGAGCACCTGTGTGTACACCTGTGAGCATGGACGCACTTGTATTTAACAGGTTCCTTCATGTAATGATCTGCTAGAGGGTGTGGGGGGGCCACAGCCCCGTCCTCCAGGGCATGAAGCAGGTATGGAGGAGATCAAGACTCCAGACATCCAGAGGCCCCCAGAACACAAGAGACCAAGGAAGACCAACAGAGGGGCAGCCGCGCCACTGTCCCAGAAAGAGCTGAGGAGAGTCCC